CCCGCCGCGAGGCGTGCGTAGTGGTGGAGTTGGGTCGGCACTGGTGCGTCAGGTACAAAGGTGCAGGTGCGCGGGTCTCCAGGCCGTCGGTGTAGGCAGCAATGCCCATCTCATCCTTGTGCGCGGAGGAAGACGTCATCAAAAAGGTGGACGGGCACTATGTACAAGGCCCTAGGTTTGCTAGAGGGAGCTGTACTGTCTCAGTAACCTGGTTTTGCCATCAAAGGAGGAGGGTACAGGTGGTGACGAGCTGATTGGGCTGGTTGACCCTGCGGCGCGAGATTTTTTAGACCAAGAACCCCAAGTGCAACGAGGGAGAAAGCGAGGAACCGACTGGGATGGACAGCAACGAGAGCGTGTGCGAAGCGGAGCGGGTCGAGGTTGGTCGTGCTAGGACTGGCCACAGCGGCACCGGAGCAGCGGCACCGGAGCGGAACCGGAGCAGCGGCACCGGAGCGGAACCGGAGCAGGCGGGCGGCATCGAACCGTGGCGCACGGACAAACATCTCTTGTGTTGTCAATTATTTTTCCGTTTTTGTCCTGAATACAGATGTTGGGTGTGTGTGACGACGTCACTGGTTTTGTAGAGAGACGCGGCAGAGATGGCGCGGATAACCCGGCTGCTTTTAATTGTGTACCTGCATCGTGGAAGACCCCTTCAATGTGGAACGATTGCTAGTCAGTGTCGATGTTTACACTGCTGTGCCTACCACAGATGATCTGGATTCGGGTGATTGTCAACTGCAATGATGGCTTTGGTTGGGTGTTGTTATTCATTTTATGTCCACGGACTCATTCTGACAGCACTTCAGACAGCAGCTGCACGCCCCGAGCTTGTGTACCATGCACCATGGTGTTATTATTGTACACACAGCACTTCAGACAGCAGTACACTGCTGTTGTCGACAAACATTCATTTTGGTTAAATGCGGGACAAGGGGGATGATGCTGCTGCTGTAGTCGATTTGTAGTGTGTGGGCGTGTAGTTCAGTTGTGAGCATGCAAACGTGCTGCAGGGATTGCAGGTGTACCTCCTCGGGGTTGCGTACCCTTTTCTTGCTAATAATATCTGTGTTCTTTAGACCTTCTGATGGCTCATAGCATTTTTGTGACCGCGGACCGAGTCTTCGCTAGATTTTGGGATTAGCAACTGACACCAGTTTAATGTGAAGAACAACAAAAGACAACAACACACGAAGAAATTTATCTCTAAAAACAGAAGATCGGCTTGATGATGGTGAATACCATTCGTGACGATGGTGTAACTCCGATCCGGAGATGCAGTGGACAAAATAAACGGACAACACACGAGAGAGAGAGAGGGAGAGATAGAGGTGACACATGCAGTATACCTGTGCGATGAAGAGGAAAGCCGCGATTGCTGTGACCAAGCTCATGCCGCCGGTGACAGCGGGAGAGATCGTGGAGCACGGATCCACGTAGCACTGGCCGGTGACATCCATAGCCGCCATCGCGAACAGGATGGAGAAGAGGAGCGTCACCCAGAAGGAGAGCGACAGCATCTGGTGCTTCCGCACGAAGCTTTCCGTCCCCGCCCCCGCCATCCCTCTGCACCTTCTCCGCTGCTGCTGCAGCGGCTAGCCTTTGGTGTCTTGATCGCTACCCTGGTTGAAATAATGGAACGTGCACAGGCCGGCAGGGAAAGTTATTTGGTACGTGCTTCCAAGCAGATTATGGAGCTGCTGCCCATGCCTTTTCCTTCGCAGTTAGCTGCAGAGGCGAGCTGCAACAACCAATAGCTCCCTCATCTTTGATTGGCGTCGCAGCGTGGCCCGCCCCTCTGGAAGCACAGTCATGCGCACTCGTTTTACTGCTGTTGTTGCTGTTGCTGCTCTGCTTCACTCATCGGCAAAAACGTGACCGGAAACATGTCTTGTGGTTGGAACCCACTTTTCGACCCCTCGGAGTGATAGGCCGGTCCCCCGCGAGGCCTCTCGTGGCCTTCGCAATTGACGCAATCTACACAGGAAGCTATGGCCCTGTCGGTGACGCCATTCACGGGAGCGGCAAGTGGCGGAGAGGAGAGAGAGGAAGAGCCGGAGAGACACCACAGGCCGACTGTGAGAGCTGAAAAAAAAAAGAGTTCGAAGGGGTGTGTGTGAGGGATCTATGACATCACGGCGCCTCTGTGGCACGTCGCGGCGCGTGTGCGTGTGCGTGCCTGATCATTCCCACCACGGCACAGCGACCGCTGTGACAGCTGCTGTTTGCCTGCGTGCCAGGGTAATATCCAACCTCTCTGTCGAACCCAATTGGGAAGACGCCAGCACACTGAAATCTAGCAGGAAGTCCCAGCAAAGCATAGTAGGAAGTCCGCCCGAAACCGCGTGTGCCTCGATTCTTGGCTACACTGGACAGCCACAAGACATGGAGCCCGAGTCCCCACGCGTGGAGCAGGTGGGCGGTATTCTCAGCAGGGGGGAGGACACAGATGGCGAGCGGACGGATGACGAGATGGATTTTCCTCCGGAATCTTCGTATGTCAGCCAACACCAACCAGCACAAGGTTTGCAAAATGAGAGAGAGGGAGCAACAGCAATGTTCACCATTTTGGTTGATTCAAACGCCGGCGCGCGAGTGGGTGTGTCCAGTGTCCCGTCACATATCACGGGGGGGAGACGATGAAGAGCAAGCAAACACCAAGAGTACCTCTGTTGGGTGCGTTAGTACACAGGGTACAGATTGTAGTACATGCAATTGGAAAATAACGTGCAAAATCGTCTGGTTGCAGAGATGAGTCGGCGATGGGGAACGAACCGAGTGCCAGCGACGATGATTGTTGTGCAACGTAAAATACAATACCGGAGGGGGGGTTTAACCCTGGTATTTGCCCGGCGCATCTCCCGGCGCTTGTCAATGTGCATAATTGCTTGGTGTCTTTGTCCAGCAATTCCACCGGCGCTAGTCAATCCGTGTTGTTGACGACCCCCGCCACAACCGCAGAACTGCTCTACTTCGATGGTCGCGAGTTATATTGCATTCACAATCCTTTGGATCTTGTGCAGCGCCAAGTCCAATACAACCGGCACATGAGCTTTATTCATATGCACGCATCAACAGCCGCAATGGAGAGTTTGCCTTGAAGTGAAATGTAGAAACGCTGTCGAGGGGGTGTACTGATCCGTTCGTTTCGAAAGCTGTTTGATACATATGCTCATGAATAAATTGTATGACTGTTCTGTGTGCATGTGGCTAGAATTGTGGGGGTGACGAAGCTTGTGCATGATGCCCTAGGTATCACCAAATGCCTTTCTGGCAATTGTTCTGAGGAGGCATGCTCCACCACCTGCTTTGTCGACAACATTACATCCAGGTTGCGGAGTTTGAGTGGACATAGGAAGAAGCGGTAGAGCTTGGCTGTTGCTAGGCGTGTCGTTTGTATGGGCAGCCCTATCTATCAATGAGTGACAGGCAGGGAGAGGCGGAGCCAATTGAATGACTCATCGACACGAGCAGTTTGCAATGTGGGTTACTTCCTATTCGAATAAGGCGTTCGGGATGTTTGATGGAGGCAAAATTGCAATATTCTTGCTTGACGTGGTTCTACTCAACGCCACAGAAATGGAGCAGACTGTCCATACTGAAAAAAAAAAAAAACTGTAGCAAGGAACAAGAAAACGCTCATGGTATTACGGACGCACTTCAAGCAAAAGTTTGGTACTGCTGTTGTCGGTCATTGCACAACAACCAAGTGGGTCGCAGCAGTGGACAGCGTTGGCGATTGAAAGAGATACCTTGCTTGCCAACCTTAACCTTGACCTCGAAAGCTATGCGCGTCACCTTGGTGAGGGTGTGTGTGTTGTGTGTTTTCGTCCTACTTATTTGGCGACAGTCCCCCCATTTTTCGTGGTGAGACGGGTACTACACTCTTTCAGCGTATGTAGAGTAGTAGAGTACTTTTCAGTGTATTTTTTAGTACAACTACAACCATCCAGGGTCACACAGGAGAGGGTAAGCACCAGGGCTTTTTTTCTTCATTTTTTTTTTATTTTCATGCCCCACCTTCCTCCTGCGGTTCGTGCTGAGTTTTATTTTGAGGAGTGGCCAAAAGCGGGTACACCCGGCCCCAATCCGGCCATTATCGGGTACACTTGTTTTTCACAGTCGGCAGCGCCCTCCTGGCGCCATCTGATTGGCCGACGACCGCCCCTACCCGGCCCTGACCCTATTCCCACCGGGTGCACCCGATCTTGGCTACTCACCCCCCGGAGGAGTACCCGATCTTACTCTCGCCTACCCGAAAATGGCCGGGCTATTCGACCAACAGACCACCAGCAGACCACGCTCACGAACACACGTCACCAACACCCCGCACTCGAGTTCCGACGCTTCCGACGGCGGGCGGAGGCGGACCTAACACGGCTAACGCGGCGGAACTCTCGTTTGAAGTAGATCTCGCTCCTGCAAGTAGATCTCGCTCCTCAACCCACCAAGTCTCTCGTGGTTAATCTCGGCACTCGTGCCTGAACAGTCGACTGGCATCGGCAGAATATGAGCGACGAAGTAGAGAACACCGCGGTCCTCGCGCAAGGCGCGTGCTACTTCACCACTAGCCATCTTAGGACAGCGTCCATGCTGCGTGTACCACCACTCTCTCTATATTTCACCATCTCCTGTGGCAAGCCCGCAGTTCCTTGTCTCTCCCGCGTACTCACGAGAGATCGAAGTCAAGGAAATATTATAGGTCCCACGGCATCCACTGCCTGCTGCTGCTGCTGCATTACTTTATGTATGTACGATCCTCTTCCTACACAACAATGTGTCATATGTCTCCGGTCTCGATCGAGACATAACCACGGCATCCACTGCTTGCTGCTGCTGCATTGCTGTGTACGAACGACCCTCTGCGTACACAACAACTTGACATACATATCCGGTCTTGATGTGTCTAGAAATGTATTCCAGACGAAAGCGACACCCTGATGCTTCTGTGCCTGATGCTTCCGTGGACATATCTGAGCTGCGTCATGTATTTGTGTGCAGCTCAAGTGATCACGTGAGTGAGGTATTGAGAGGTATTCATCCACCGCCGCCTGCCTGGCCCTCTCTCTCCTCCCTCTCTGATACGAAACGAGAACCGAGAGAGTTCCGCCGTCGGCGGTGGGTTGCAGGAAGAGTCTTGCAGGAGAGAGGTCCACTGATCCACTTCAAATGAGAGTTCCGCCGCGTTAGCCGTGTTAGGTCCGCCTCCGCCCGCCGTCGGAAGCGTCGGAACTCGAGTGCGGGGTGTTGGTGACGTGTGTTCGTGAGCGTGGTCTGCTGGTGGTCTGTTGGTCGAATAGCCCAGCCATTTTCGTGTAGGCGAGAGTATGATCGGGTACCCCTCCGGGGGGTGAGTAGCCAAGATCGGGTGCACCCGGTGGGAATAGGGTCAGGGCCGGGTAGGGGCGGTCGTCGGCCAATCAGATGGCGTCAGGAGGGCGCTGCCGACTGTGAAAAACAAGTGTACCCGATAATGGCCGGATTGGGGCCGGGTGTACCCGCTTTTGGCCACTCCTCTTTTATTTTTATCGCGGGAAGGGTCCAGTCGTCCCATTCCCTCGTCAACGGTGCTACCGTCGAAGTTTGGTACTCACGAGAGCTTGTCAGCGTTGTTTCGCTTTCACCCGCAAAGTTTGCAATTTTTTCACCTCGTAGGGATTCGAATTCACGACCTCTGCGACTAGCGGTTTACGAGGATACCACTAGACCACCCGGGCGACGGGAGGGTAGACCCAGGCGAAACCCCACCTCTACATCGAAAATCCTTGTAGAAATGCTCGTGCACGAGGTCTTATATCCAACTGACTACGCCGCTTTCGAAGTGAACGTCGGATGAAGATGAATGAACACACAACCTTAAGGTCGAGGCTATGCAGTGGAACACCGGCGGGCACGTCGAAGACCTAGATGACTACGAGGGAAGTCATTTCGGGGATGGCTGTTTCGGAGTTCATTGTACGGTGGTGAACTATATGTGGTCATCAATGTGTGGTATGCGGTTCATGGTGTGTGTTTTCATCCCATAACTGAATATGATACTCATTCGCATGCCCGGCCGTGATGACGCCCCCCTTCACCCGCCTGCCATCTAGGAAAGTTGCGATAGAACGTGGAAATATCGTTGCTCCTTATCGAAAGCCCGCTACCCGTCCGCCACTCACTTGTCGCAAACCCACCAGACGAGGACGAGCAGCAGAAGGACAGTGCGGAAGAGTTGGAGGTGACTGGCGAGGGCACTGCGGGAGGGCCGTTTGGACTGAAGAAGGTACTCTTCGTGAGGAAAAAGAGCGAAAAGGGCGTTGGGTCGAAAGAGGTGAGTTTTTTCTGTTGGCTTGGTTTTGTTGCTGTCCTATCGCGTCGGCAAAGAAATATGTTCTTGCACTTGCAAGTGCAAGTGGATGTACTTATGTTCCGAGAGAGAGAGAGAGAGAGAGAGCGTGTGAAGTGCTGTAGAGTAGTAAAATTTCCACTGCAGCCTCCCGTCTTCATTCTTCGAGCATCGGTGTTTGTCGATGGTGATCACACCGATACTGCTGTACTACAAGAGGTTCATTTATTGAGATAGTGGCCCCGAGGCTCTACACGATCTCTTAGCACTCTTGTCTGTGCGCAAAGACGAGTTCCTTGATGAGCTCTTTTCTCTACTACCCGCTTTATTCTGCCCAATGCCCATGACACGCCACGTCCTGCCATCGCATCATTACCATTCAAAACACCTTGCCCGCGTGACTTGTCGTACAGGAACCTTCCTTCAAGGACCGATTCAACAAGCTCGGGGCGGGAGTTGGAGAGAGGTTTGCCGCTTTCGGACACATCATCCAAGAGCACGGCAGCAAGTCCGCGGCGGCAAGTGGATCGCAGACTTCGGGAGTAGCGGAAAAGTTTACCGCCCCGGACGAGACGAACGAACCGGCACAGGTTGCACCGCAGGGTGGTACCGCTTTTGCTGGCCCACCCGCCAGCGAGCACCCCCAGCAGCAGGCGATGGAGTACTTTCAAGAGTACGAGGTTACCTTTACTACCAAGCCCACGTTTTCGCTCGTGGCAGGGGCCGACGGGAGGGGCGCCGTAGTATCGTGGGACACCGGTACGGCACCACCCTCTGCGGACAGCGGCGGCGCCCCTGCCCCCGTGCCGCCATCCGGTGCCGCTGTCATCGCCGTGTCCGGCGAGTCGGTAACCGAGAAGAAGCTGGCAGACGTGCTGGAGCTCCTGGAGGCCGCCGGCAAGGACCTCGACATAGGGCGAGAAGAAGATCCGGCCAAAAATAACGGCGTCAAGCTTTCCGTCGAGGTGCCTCCGGACCCGGCAGGCGGCGGCGGTGGCGAGCTGGTGGTGCGTTTCCGCGAGAAGATGAAGCCGCAGCACGAGACCGGGTCGGCCGGTGGGGAGGTCTTCCGCAACAAGATGAAGGCCATGGCGACGGGGATAGGGAACCTGTTCCAGGCAAAGGAAACGGCGGGCAGCGCCGTGAGGGACGGCTCCAACGTTTCAGCCGGAGGCTCGGGCCCGTCGGGGGCGGCGGCGGCGGCGGCGGCAGCGGTGCCCGATGCCTTCCCCCTGACGTTTTCGGCGGGAGGCAAGACGGTCGAGGACTTGCCGTTTACGATGGCCGAGGTCGTCGGAGGCCTTGGGGTTATCGTGGCGGCGGTTAGGGACGACTACGCGGAGAACTTGATCGTGGCGGAGGAGGCGGGGGTCGTGTCGGCGGGGACGGCGGGTGTGGCTGCCGGCGGCGGCGGCGAGGAGGGGGGCGCGGGGCGGAGCGATGGCCCGGATGTGCTCGTTCCTGGAGCCTTGATCTTGAGAGTGGCCGGGCAGAACGTGGAGGGGAAAGGGATGGAGCGAGTGAGGAAGGCTTTGGAGACGGCGGCGGTGGAGCACTCGGCGGTGAGTGAGATGTATCTTTATCGTGTTTGGAGGCGGACATTTGTTAGAAGCACAGGGAACAAGGTTGACCTCAGGACCTTGAATATGCCACACATAAAGAACTAGAGAGAGAGAACGTCGTGCCCGATGGGGTCAGTGCCACACACTCACGTTACCCCCAGAGCCCCCACAAAACAGTACGGATTGCAGGTTACCCCAAAGAGGAACATCATCTTTCACCCTTGAGTGATGTGGTCAGGGGGTTATTGGTGGAGGATGGCCAAAGATATTGACGCATCAGCTTGCCGCAACCTTGGAAACGATTACAGTCTCTGTTCGCGTGCACGTGCACCGTTTTGCGACGTTGAGCACGTGGCATCACGTTGTATCGACACGTACGCCAAGCACTTGATGCAGTCGACCTTCAATAGTAGTCATTGTCTCCATCCCGGGTGTTGATTGGCCCTCGTGCCTCGCCTTTCCACAGGTAACGCCCCTTTCCCCTTCCTGCACCCGTTACTGCACACCAGGTGAAAATCCTCTTCCGGCACGCGCCTCCAGTCTACCGAGCGAGCGTGGCGGCCGAGCTAGCGTTAGAGCAGTCCAAGGTGCCTCAGGTGCACGTCGGCACGTGGCAACCTTTGCTCAAGCGACGCGCCGGGGTCACGATGAGCGGAGACGGAGAGAACGGCGGCGGCGGGGGCGGGGGCATTATCGGACTCGGCTATGGCGGAGAGGAGTGGGAGGACGTCCAGGCGACCATGGCGCGGGCGCACAGGTTCGTGAACGGCTTCCGGTCGGTCGGCATCCGCGTGGACGTGCTGAGCATGCAGACCGTGACCCTTCCGCGGAACGTCAAGTCGGCGTACGCTGGGACGTTCGAGGGCCGGCCGTCGTCCTTCCAGCAGGCGGCGCGGCTGTGGTTTTCCTTCCCGGGGGAGCGAACGGTCACCCTCAAGAGACAAGCTACCTTGGAAAAGCTTGGTTTGTTGCACGTCGAGACTAGGGGAGGGGGCGGGGCGATAGGCTCATGGGTGACGATCACCGCGGCGGATGCGTCGCCTTGCGCGGCGGCGGGGGTACCCGTGGGGGAGACCTCGCTGCTGACCCACGTTAACGGCTTCGACGTGTCTCCGCCCGCCTACCGATCGCTCGCTCCGCGCGCGTTCGGGGATGGGGAAGGGTGGACGGCGGCGGTGCTGCCGGCGCTCGAGAGCGGCGGCGGCGACAACATCACCCTTACCTTTGTCTGAGGACTGCGCTGATCTTGATCTGAGGACTCGTTTTGTGGCGGTGTCGGTGCTCGGTGCTGTTGGAGATGGATGATGCTTTGCACAGACAGGCTGTGTTCGGAAGGTTGTGCATGCGAGGGAACAATATTGTGCATGCATGCATTGCATACCGTAGCCGTGGTTGCGACGTCCAGTTCTCTTGACGAAAGAAGAGCTGTCACACTTGTTGTGTAGAAATTTTGAGCTGTCAAATCAAGACTCTTGTTGAACTGTACTAGTTTCTCGGCTTGTCACACCCGACTAGCCGTGGCGGCTTGTCGATGATTCACTGCTTCACAATACTCCATGCGTGTGCCCTAAGTTCACGCCATCTGAGGTTCCACCAGTTGAGCATCTGTAATGCGGTTTACGGTATGTTTGGGGTGGCGGGATTTGAACCGGTATGTTTGGGGTGGCGGGATTTGAACCCGGGTTAACTTCGAAACCATTGAACATGTCTTTTTTCGACGCCAACGTTACAAGATGGACTCGTCTTCGAGATCTGACCGTCGGACCCTTTTTAGAGGTCGCCTCGACATCTTTTTGTATGGTTGGATGAAATGTTGTGACACTTTTTACTGTGTTTCTTGAAGCACGTGCGCCTTGGCTGCGATGCGTCCTTATGACCCTCACCGGGCTTGAGTTGGTCGTGCTGCTGTAGCACGGTACCGTATCTGTTTGGGTCTCTGGATATTTTTTTGTCCGTTTCCGCGACGTCGTTCGCTGAATATGCTGTTGATTGGGTGGTGGGAGCGCGCACGCATGTGAAACGTTGTATGCATGTCCATGTGCATGTGACGCACGCACGCGTCGTCGCTTGTTGCCATGCATGCTGTCGTACAAGAATGGGGCTCATTGAAACAATCCAACTCAATACTGTAGACCCCTGGGCAAGTTTTCGGGCCTCAGCCACGTGTGCTGGCCAGGCCTCTCTTCACCAAGAGCTAGCTTGAGTCTTGTGTTTGCTACAGAGAGATGGCACCCCCCGGTAGACCAATTTTCAAGAGCTCATTTCCTCCACATCGAGCTTCGCCAACACCAAAACTGGCGGTTTGGGAAAAGTGTCGGTGAGAGGGCTTTCCGAAGACGTATCGAGCTCCTTTCGGCACCCACTTCGTTGTGATGTGGAGCAATCGAGCTTTTGACACCTCTCTGCCTCTACGGTAATCGAGATCAACTTCACCCCGCCACTTGAGGTGACGCAGCGAGAGAATTTTCCTGGAATATACTAGCTGCTTCATCCCTCGTCGGGTGTGGCATCCTCTATAGGCACCAACTGCGCGACAGACAAAACCAACCGTTCTTGTCGTGATCTCCAACCTGACCCGCGGCGGTGGCTCAAATCCATTTCAAAGAGGATGGAGGTTTCAAAGGGAAGAAAAACAAAGCCAAATGTGCGAAAAATGCGCTCCGGTCCTGCTTCATGTGCTAGGGTCCCAGGGTCTTGACAAGTCAAGTTACTCAGCGACGACAGTGAAGTCACCATAGATAGATGTCAGAAATTCTGTGTACCACGTCTGTCTACGGATGCCCCAACGCAATGCGTTTCAGACAGAACCAACTTAGAAACGATGTAGATGTTGGCCTAAGGCGTGCAAGTAACACAACACAAACGATCGCGCACGCCACCAATGATGATGGCGATTCACGTGGTACGGTACTCATAATGTGTACATGACACTTTTTGACATTGTTTATCGGTAAGAATGCACCTAGACGAACTTGTTGTTTGATCCTGCTCCGTGTCTCTCTTTTCCTCGCTCCATGTACCACGGCAGTAGCTGCTTGTACGGGCATTACTCCTACCTGGCCAACGTCGTGATGTGCCACCAGCAACGGCATCAACACAGCGCGGTAACGAGCACAAAAACAGGACGTGATCGTTAGCGCAAAGAGGGTAAACGCCTTCGACGCTTTGGACCTCCATTCGCTTCGACAAACCAGGGAGTCAAAAAATGCGCCAAAAAGTCGCAACTTCTTTTCTCGTGTTGTTTCAAGACTGCCCGCGCTCTCTGGTCTACATACAAGCACGGCTGTGATATATTTTAAACAAGACAGCAACAAAAACATACCACAATCATACATTCGCTCAAAACTTCAAAGTTATCACGCACACGGGGATCGAGGCACCCCCGCTAGTCTAATATTTTCTCTTTGCTGGAGCTATGCGCAAGGAACCTGCGGTACAACTTCCCCATGAAAGGAGTACTATCCCGAACGAGCACTTGTGCTCATGTCATGTCACGTGGAATCTCTACACCTATCTAAAAAAATCCACGAGCTGCATTCCCCCTTCTCCCGCATAACCGATAATAGCGAACCAACAAGCTCAAAGCTTCTCGAGCTTGAACATGTCCTTGAGAATCTCGAGGGTCTGCTTCTTCTCGTCAGGCCCGCCCGGCTGGCGGAGGACCGACATGGGCCCGTGCAACATCTTGTTGACGATGCCCTGAGAGAGTTTCTCCACCACTTGCAGCTCCTTGTCGGACAGATTTTGGAGCTTGTTGCCGGCCTGCGCCATGTCATGTCACACCATCAGCAGTGGGGTTGGAATACCGAGGAAATGGGACGGGTGAGTTCATCGGGTGGATCGCAATAATGATGAAACCACCGGTCACCAAACACGGGAGGCAATTTCCAACCGACGGCGAGAGTCTCGCGCAGAGAATGAGGGGTTCTGTTGGCAAGGGGTGACGTGCGTGCTGGGGGGCCATTGGTGACAGGCCAAGGGAGGTAGGTCGTGCCGATCTTTTGGCCAACCGATACTTTGGGGCAAACAATAGCCTGGGCTCGTTGATTAGGTACGTAGAGGGGTGGTGTGAAAAGTCGAACCACGCAACGTCCAACCATCGGGGGATAGCGTCCAAAACAAGGCGTCCAACAAAGGGTTCGAGATCACGCGTGCATTATACGAAACGCTCTCGTCTGTTCTTCATACACCGCGTTGACAAATAACACGCACCATGAGACAAAGACCATTTTACCGTTGTCATTAGTCACGATTCGTCTTCCTCCGCCTTACCTTTCGCATCTCCTGCGCGCGCATGCCCTCAAACTTCTCCTGCATCTTGGAGATGGCAGGGGTCGCCGACAGGCTCTGCTGCCACCCGCTAAACTTGTTGTGCTCCTCCGCCAGGATGTCCTCTGCCTCCAGCATCTCCCGGCGTCGCAGCGCGGTATTTCTCGCCACCACCATCTTCAGGTCGTCGACGTCGTACGCGAACACCCCGGGGACATCAGAGCAGTCAGCCTCCACGTTTCTCGGCACCGAGATGTCGACAAACATCACCGGGCGTTCCTTGCCCGCTTCCAGCCTCTCCAACTGCTCTTTCCCGACAATGCACCCGGTAGCACTCGTCGACGTGAAGATGATGTCCGCCTCGCCGATAGCCCGTTCCAGCTCCGTGGGGTCCTCTGCCCCTAGCCGTACATCCATCTCCATGTCGGGGAACTCCTTCATGAGCTCCGTGCACTTGGGCATGGACCGGTTGACAAGGATGACCTTCTTGATGCCGAGAGAGCCCAAGTGGACGAGCAGCAGCCGGGTCATCTTGCCGGCGCCGATGATGGCCACCGAGGAGCCAACGAGCTTCTTGCCAAGGTCCTTCTCGGCGCGCATCTTGCTGAACTCGGCAGCGGCGGAGGAAATGGACACCGCGCCTGGAGGGGCCAGCAAACGAAATTAAGAGGGTCAAGTGATGATGACCATATGGTTTACTGCTGCCGACTTCTGATGGGCAAAGGGTTTTGTCGCGTACACGACGACCGCAAAAAATCTTCGACACAAAGAGAGAGAGACTTGAGCCCATTTCCAATCAGATTCTTCGTCTCAGCTGCAAGTGAAGACGGAAGGGCAACATGTCTCTAGGGTCTTCGCCGATCGAACAACAAAAGCGGGAGATACATTGCTGCCGCATAATAACGCGTGTGTGTTCGTCGGATCTGGGCCAGTCTCAACACCTCCGTGCCTGAAAAATTTTGACGCTTCAGCTGGAGTCAAGGAAGGTTCCATGATACAATCGGAAATGCTCCAGTCCCGACAGTTGCGGACCGACAAGGTCAGCGTGGTCAGTGGACGCCTCTTACGTCCTCCGAAAGCGAGGCATGTGTACGAAGAAGCTGCGAAACGACCTCTCCTTCAACAAACAACAGCGCATCTCGGCTCGATATAACAGCAACGAAAGACCCTGCCAACACATCGTTGCCATAGGATCGTCGCAATCGCATGCGTGGCCGGTTGCACTACCGCTCCCGACACCTTGTCAAGCGTGTTATTCTTGTCCTCCCGCAGACAGTACCATCAGAAGGTCAACTTAACGGAAACTGGAAGCATTGTTGATAGTTTCGCAGCTCACGCTGTTGGGGACAGCCAATATTACCATGGCTACCAGGTGTTCCGCCCAAGCAAAACGTACGCCGAGCCCCGTCGACCCAAGACTCGTCTCCGCGCGCATCTTCCAACATGAGCCCGCCTTGGCACGGGCAAAACCTTTCCTTCCGGCAGACACACTCACCCTTGCTGATGCTCGTCTCCGCCCGAGCTCGCTTCCCAGCCGAAACGGCTGTGTTCAGCATCCTCGCCACCACTTTCCCTGCCGACCCATCCTTCTCCGTGCCGTGAAGGTAGCATTGCCGGACCTGATTTTACCAGCAAAAACGACAACGAAATAAATAGATGACTGATGTACCGAGCACACAAAATTGGATCTTGCGGTACGCAAAAGGTTGACAATACATGTACACGTAAGTTTATTGTTCGTGGTACAGTAGTACTTGGGTCCGATACGATATCCGATCTGGAATTTATATGGAATTTTATTTGTGGGTATACCGTTGGAGCCCCTCCCTCCCCCGAGAGAGCGAGTGGTTCAGCTGGGGGGCTGTTTCATACACCTCGATATATTGAGACTTCCTGTCCCACGACAATACGAGATCGAAAGAGCGGGCGCGTTTCGTGGAATGTGTCAGTTGGGGGTATGTAGCATATTGATATTGGTGTCTTGGGCTACCAGTGAAAGGTAGGGTACAGATTTGCTCATCTCAGGGAAGGTTGCAACAGGGTTGCTCAAGTACAAGACATTACTTTCCTTGCTGATGGTATTTCTTGGACATTGCACTGGAGGAAGGATTTGGCATGTGCTGGACTAGCGTTCGTGCTGTCCGAATGCTCGTTTTTTTGTGGCCGAAAATTGAACCTCTGTTTCTCTTGAAATTTTGAGGCAAACCCCTTGAAGCTGTATTCTTCGAGCAACGCCCGTCACAGTTCCGACGCTTCTCGGACGTAGCGCAGATGCTTGTTTGGGTGCACTTCTGAGTATCATTCTTTAGAGTTGACGGTTTGGAGATGATTGCAAGGGCGAATGCATTGGGTTCGTGGTTGAACTGATGGGAGAAATGGATGCGCTTTTGGTGCATACGTAGCGAGTTTTTTGCGGGATGTACATATCTCGTGTGGATATTTCTTTTTGATAGGTCGACTACAGGTATGCAAGTGTCCACCCGTTGTCATGGACGCACAAGATCAGACAGGCTGCTCGGACGTGGACAAACGTCCACCCAGAGCCCGCAGAATTTGAGTAGGTGGGCGGCAGAGATGTCGTACGGAACAGGTTTGGGGGTCTCGGGTAACTACGATTGACCGAGCACGCCTGTGCAACAAGAATAGCCACGCGCGGCTCCTGCTTCTGAATAGGTCAACGGTCAACGCCCAAGGGAACGGGGATGAAATCTGGTTCGATGTAACACATGTCGGCACTTCTCTACATATCGTACACACACAATTCAAATTCCGACTAAAAGAACCAATTTTTGCATGAAACAGATGTGTCTTCGAACAAAGAGAATGCAGAGGAATGAGGTCAAGCCTCAAACTCTAGGGTGAGGGTGGACTGTTACCCACAAGAAGCTCCACGCGGTTGTTAGAATCTTCGAATCTTGAGGAGCTTGCAACGCCACGTTTGACGCGTAAGACTGCTCGTCCAGCTCCCGGGCGACTACTAGAACAGTCAAACCCTGACCAATCCATGACTTGGAGTTAGCACCGTCATCACAACCGTTGATTTCTAACCCTGATTGAGACGTCACAATGCTACGGTCACTGCATCGCTGCCTGCACGTTGGAAACACGCGTACAGAGCGCATTTTTACAATTGGTAGCGAGGGGAAATGTTTTTCTAGCCGAGATTCGGAATACTCACATACAAACGTCGGAGATTTTTTTTGTCCACTTCAAATCACGCTCGCAGAATTTGTGCCGTCCACAACCCGTGATCACACAGAGTGGTCCTCTCCCCAAGGCCCCTACCCACCCCTCCTGTGGTGCTTTGCCTTGGTTTTATATTCGAGAAGAGGGCAGCACTCCCTTCCCTATGTGTACACACGAATTATTATAGCGATTTCCACCAAGGCCAGGAACGGAACCGAGAGAAAAACTCACGTTGCAACAAAAGCTCGCTTACGCCGGGAATCGAACCCCTGACCCTGGCCACTGCAAGGTTGTAGCCAAATTAGACAACGGGCACCGGCGTTGGAGAATATTGGGGAATATTTCATGTGCTTTAATGCACACTGCGTTGTGAATTGCTCTCTGCTTTTGCCACATCCCCACTTCAGGGCTTGGGTGGGAACGCCAACAAGGTCGAGAAAGAGCGCGCCTCTCTTCACCGTATTAGGAAACAAACTCATCCTAAACAGCGTCCTACTTTTGTGCGACTGCCTTAGTGCGGTGTGCACGCTGGAAACGCACGTACATGCGGGGCCTTTTGTTGTGGTTATGCCGGTGCCGGGCGACCATTACAGCCAGCTCGGAGATTAAAGTCGAGAATGAACGTTGTCATGAGTTGGAAGGGCAAGGGAGTAAGTAAATCGAGCGAACTTCCCATCGCCGCTGCTGCTATCAAGCAAACCCACCTGCGACAATATCTGCCCCTCTCCCACCACAAGCGAGTCCAAGCCAGCGCTAACCCTTAGCAGATGCCACACCGCGTCCTCCCTGGAGAGCATGAACAGGTTTTGCCGTAGCTCCGACTGGGAGAGGCCCGAGTACTCCTGCAGGTGTGTCATCACGTCTCGGATGGCCGCGTGGGCGTCAGTGGCGGCGATGTACACCTCGAACCGGTTGCACGTCGACAGCACCGCGGCCTCCTGGATGTTCTCGTAGCTGCACAGCTTTTGGGGTTGGTCACCATTTTCCGCCGTAGGTTGTTGTGGGTTCCACAAGAGGAGAAGAACGCAGGGAGATGGCGACGAGGCAACAGCCAAACTTCAATGATCAAACAATGGATTCGTGTCTCGCGGTGTTGCTGCAGCTGCATTTGATCCTGCCTACACGTACACGTCCAAATGTAGAGCAGCGCATTGTTTTGCTTCGGAACCCTGCCGCCGTGCCGTTGTGAGTGCCTCCGTCAAGTCTGGGTCACACATGGCCTCAACACACCCAAACTCTTGATCATATAGATGACAACGCGCATACATCCGGAGACCACCTTATGTTCTACAGAAATGACGGGGACACGTCACACAAGGGACGACACCAAACAGACATGCAGATTCCATCGAAAACCGGGTATCGTCATATAGCAGTGCAATTAGCAAAGTGCAATCGGCTGGTGAAATCCATGCCTATCAACGGACAACGTGCTGCAAGACCTAAACCGCTCGTATTCATCGTCAGGGAGAGCGGCTTGGCAAGCAGTGCGGACTTCTCGTCACTGGGCGGTTGAATAATGCGAGGGGTACAACCAAGCAGCCACCGTACGTAGAAAAGTGCAACGTAATCACCAAAGAATGAAACGCTGCTTCTGCGGGTGTCCGCGCAACAACACACCCTTTGCAATGCTTGACCACCTACAATATCAGGAAGCATCATGCCTACAGCCGTTCGTGCAACAACAACCCGAGAGCTCAGCTACGCGTCTCCACTCACAGTCTACAACCAACACCATTTTCGACGAGCGCGCCGAGAACAAGAGCGCGGCAGGATAGCTGTCGACTATGCTCCGAGACCAACACCGGGATTTCCGACACCCGTCACGATACTGCTGTACCGCCTACAGCACTAACACACCTTAGCGGATGCTAGGTTCCACTCCGCCTCGGGCACAGCAAGCCTCTCGCGGACGTCGACGCCGGCGTTGTGGTGCGACAGGCCGACAACGTGGACGCTGAGCGGGGTGGAGGATGCAGCAATCCTCCTCGCCTTCTTTTGGGCCTTGGTCTCCTTGGCTTCCTCCGGTTCTCCCTCCGCCGCCCGCTTGTTGCCTGGCTTTGTCTCCACCGCCGACATCCCTAACGGCTTCACGTCGACCGTGCGAGAGCGGACGACGCGGGACCTCACCCCGTCGGAGACCCACCGAGGGGCTCCAATGTTGCCGGCGGCGATAGGTGGACTGCTCGACCTATCGCGTGAGGATAGACTGCTCATGGTCGCTTGCTGCCCGTGCAGGGCCAACGACAGAGAGTTAAAAGGCGCCTGGAATGCCGCTTGCAAGCGAGAAACAGGGCAGCCGCCCTTGGTCGTGGCTGTTGCTTCGCACGATGTGAAGAACGCGAGCAGCAGCACGAAGTGCAGGTATAGCACCCGCACGAACGGGCATCCTGCGGATGCTGACGGCGCAGACATCTTCTCCTTGGTACGTTCGGCACAGCCAAACAAGCCGAGTGCGCGCAAGCCAAGAGCTGCGCTATTCTCGCAGAGCGCCCGACACTCCTTGAGTTGACTCGACGCAAGCGAGTTCAGGGTGGGCTATGGAGAGCACGAGAGAACGAGAAGCTGCGTGGACGTAGAGTTGAACACAAAATCTGACAGGAATCGAAAAGGGCGTTTCTCGGGGATGATTCCCTACTGTCCCCGCCCCACCCCCCACCCCAACCCACAGAAAAAATAGTCCTGTCTGCACATGCCCCATTTGTCATTGTTCAGCTTGTGGCTTTCCCGCAGAGAAATGTACGCCCCACAGATTAAGGAGAAATAAATACACGCACAGAAAGACTACCCATTCGAGATATACCCACAGTCGAACGGGATGTGGTGGAGTCTTTTCAGTAAGTGGAGGAAAACCGGCTGGGTACTGGACTTATTTCGAGTCTCTACATATAGTATGGCTACACAGCAGTGCTGCACGACGGAAAAAAAAAAAAGTAAGCGGCGGGACAAAAAATATCGGCTTACACAGANAAGAGCAGCGCGACCGGCGTACATCCACCCAAGGCTAAGGTTTATAGCAGTAGACTATTCCAATAGCTATCTAGGGAACCAAGATTTGTCGAATTCCGTCCACTGTAGGCTTCAAACTTGTCGGCGCAACCCACAGCCCGTGCCCGAAAAAAACGTGCCGATGGTATCTACGCGGCGCAACCACGCTGCTGTGCACCCGCCAAAGACACCAAGCATGAGAACGCGCCCACCACTGCATCGATCGCCATAAAAATTTGATGGAAGACGTACTGAGCGCCAGACAATAGATTGCATAAGAATTCAACTTGATTGGTGCAGAGGATCGAGAGGTAGGTACGAATGAAGTTGAAAACTGGCGTTCACATACAGGCACCGTGCTTATGCCCTGGCACGTTGCCGGCAACACCGAGCATCGATTATGCTAGCTGCTGATCTTGTGGTTGTATAGCACTTAGAATTGTGCTGCAATACCAACTATAGGTGGAGTACTCTTGAATGGCGTTAGCTAGGTTTGGACTGAAATTGCTGTTGGTGGTGCCCCTCTGTTGTTGCACCGCACACGCTTGTGCCTGTTGGAGTCGGGACCCTCACCTAGCAGTGCACAACTCTCCTGATTCCCGAAGAAAAAAATGCAAGAATGGTCGAATAGCGACAGTAGCACGGCACCTACAGTAACAATGAGTTTGGCCACTGATAACGTCGTGCTTTGGGGTGTCGCATGCAGGCACGGCCGGCATATATATATA